GTAACTACAAATTCCATTCAGTGGAATTTGTGACTACAAATTTTACTATCCAGCCTATTTTCATTCTAGTAATCTAGTAATTCTAGATTTAGAATTACTTTGCTTGCTTTGAAAAGCACAGCATGTATTATAAAGATTGCATTAAAAAACAAAATAAGGAAGTATGATTATTGCAGAAACTGATACAGAACCCTTTGAAAACAGAACCTCCTTTCTCTGGACATGCAGGACAAGACATTTATTATAGTGTTGAAATGAATATTGGGTAAATCTAGAAAAATGTTCTTAAAATATGTGAACATTTTGAGTTAAAGATAAAACATTTTCTTTGCACTCTTTCCAAAGGTGTCACTTCTGGAATACCGTAAGAGGCAACGGGAAGCCAGAAAAAGCGGCTCTAAAGCAGAAAGCTTTGCCCTTCTTACCATATCACCACATGCTGCTGGTGGAGGAAACAACGGTAGTGCTGCTGATGGCTTTAACAGTAATGAAAATGGAGAACAAGTGGAGAGGGAACACACTGCTGGCCTCCCATTGCCATTGCCAGCCACAGATTACAGTGCAACTTTGGAAGAAACTGACAACTCCTCTTCATCAAAGGAAGCTTCAAGTGAAAAGAATGATCCAGAGGTTCAGTGGTGAGGCACTTAGAAGTTGCTATTAAATGGAGGTTTATTAAAACAAATGACAATAGAGACTTTTGAATCCACTCCAAACAATTGTCCAGACTGATAGCTTGGCCCATTCAGTTGACTGATTTGCAAGTACTTCTCAGTCTGTCAGATTTAAAAGCAGCCTTAAATCTTTTAGGGAGCAATCTAGTCTAGCTCAGAGAAGTATGGGCATCCCTATAAAGGGCAGGGGAATCATGGAAGTCAGTGTTGCCTCTGCATTCCTTCCACTCTGCAAAACACTTAGGAGGCCAGAATCAGCCATCTCAGTGTTGCTCCCTGGAGCCCCAGGGAAGGAGACAGGCAGCATCAGGATCCTTTGTAGGCAGGGGTCAGTCCACAACATCCTTTCCCTGTACACTAAGAGGTGGGATCACCAAGGTACGTGGGGTAACTTTTTCTCTTATCCTAGTTGATTCCCACTGAGACTGAAGTTTCCTGCCACTGATAGAGGTGGAAGAAGAGAAAGACTTCATCACTCCCATTCCACCAAGACAGTTCTTTCCCAACTATTAATTAAGAAGCTGGGCACTGGAGAAAGGGCTTCATGACCTACACCAGGAGTGGCCAAGGCCTGTAGGCCACATCCACTTTAAGGATGGGAGCGCAGTTGAGGCCCTTAGCCAAGCAGTTCATGGAATGGCATAAAGCAAGTCACACTTCATGTCTCTGGTATATGGGCGTAGTATATAGCTTACATGAGAAGTGTTTGCTGCTATAATGAGGAAAGTAGCTATGTTTAGACAAGAAGCAAGGCAATTCCTCTAGAACTGTTGGCATGGTAAAGGACTGGAACACTGCAAGCCAAACTGTGCAGCAAACATGAGTGGTAAAATGTCTGCAGTTAATTCTCAGACTTCACATTTAAGAGCATTCATTGGTTTATCCACCAGCAGCCTCTGTGGCCTCCAAACCATCCTGACTGCATGCTTTTTAAACAGATTAATACATATTTAGTTGAAATGTATATTAACATGTTTGTGTACTTTGGTACTAGAGCCTCCAAACCAATCAAGTCATGTAAATGCTTAATTTTCTTGGGAATATTTCTATTGAAAAAGTTGAATACAGACTTGGAGTATACCCTTATGCATGTTTAGATGAATCCTGCATTCCTAAGCCAGCCAAATACTCACTGGGAAATGCTGGGTGTTATAGGATCCCTTTCTGCCTAAATATGTATAGGTTTTAGTCATGCTTAATTATCATTGACTTCAGTGGGTTTACTGTAAGTTAGTCATAAGTAATGTGTTCCAACAATTTCAACAGGACTATATTAAACTTTACTTAGTCTGGATTCAAGCCATAAAACTTAAGCTAGAAGAATCCCAGTCTCAGAAATCTCCATAGTCCCCATAGGATTGGAACATTCTACCATCAACTCCAAAGAACCTCCAAATATCTGTTGTCTTAAATACTGAAACTGCTAATGACTTTTGGATTTTACGGCAATTGGTTGTAATTCTAATTCAGGTTCCAAGGCAATCCAAAGATTTTTGTTTCTATTACTTCAGCAAATGCTCTGGCACAGTGATCAGGCCCAGTTCTTTCTGTTTTGAATGTCAGATCTGAATTACAGATATTTAATAACATTTAAAATCCAGTTAATGTATGGATCTGGTTGAAATACCAGAGAAATCAGTTTTAGGCCATCAGTCCACCCAGTTTTCAGGGTCTAACATTTCACAGCTTCACCATTAGAATTTATGCCAAAACTGACTCTTCGACCATGCTTATTCTCAATAGAAGCTGGACTCATTTTAGCATTAAGCATTCTCTTATAAAATCTTTATAATCAAATGTCTCTACATCTCTTCAGGTCATAGTAATCTGTGTAAACATAGTAGATGGGAAAAAATCTTGCAACTTACCCAAAAATTTTTGTTCATCTTCATGCCAACTTGGGTCACAAGAGAAATTTTATTGTACATACAGCTGAATTTAAGTTGCATATTAACTAGTTGTGGTTGTAGTTTGCAAGGGTTGTAATTTCAGATTACCATTTATTTTTGTTTTAAAGGACTGCTTCAACATCAGTGGAGCAAGTGAGGGAGCGAAGTTATCAGCGAGCTTTGCTTCTTAGTGACCATAGGAAAGACAAAGATTCTGGTAAGAGATCAATTCTGTTACTCATGGAAATACATTCCTTCAACCTATAGCAATTCTGTTACCATGTTTGGCTTTCTTCATCTTGGAGAGGAAGAAACATATAGCAACTGTTTACTATCTAATCTGTGTTATCCATATTTATCTCATTTTAGTATAATAGTTAAAGCAGGTCATTACAGATTATGAAAATTTAATCCATCCCATAGTACAGATCTTTATAATCATTGTGTACTTCCATCTTACTGTAATTATCATTACAGATCCTGATCCTGAAAATCCTGAGCCCACAAGTGAATGTCCATCCCCAGATACTTCCTTGAAGACATGCAAGAGTCCTTTAAAAGTGAACAAGGTACCTCTAAATGTAGTGTGATCAAGTTTAGGAATACACATGCATGGCTTGACTTTCCTTATATGCCTCTCTTATCATTACCAGGATGAAACAGATGCCCTGAATTTAGTTAGAATCTGAATTCTGACCCCATAAGGGGTATACTGACCCCATAAATGGAGAGAAGATAACCTTAAAAGCCCTGTGCTGGGACAAACAGGAGGTGACTGCCACTATCACACCTTCTTTGAATGCCAGGGCCATTTCAGAAATCTGATTCAGCGAAGCTATTCTTACAGTTTTGGTGTCTGTGACAGATCCGACAAGTTATACACTTAACATATGCAGATTTGCAAATGACCTCTGTAACTGCAGATGTATTTTGTTTAAATATCACCAAAGCAGCTTACATCTGAATTATGTGCGTCTAAAGCCTGGTGAAGTCTAGCTATTTTTCTTTCCAGTGTAGCTGCAAAGTTTTGCATTTCCCTGTTATTTTTAAAAGAATGTTCCAGTGACCTTGGGAACTGTATTATTTGAATGGAGCCATTGGGTCATCTGAGATAAAACCTGGTTTTAATATGAATGTCATACATTTAAATACTTAAAAATTTAGATACATGTTAAAGTGATATACACCTAGCCTCACAACACATCGGTTGCAGAATTCAAATGAAATGTTTAAAGCAGCAAGACACATGAAACTTTGGGCTGCCTTTGGTTTATATTCTAATAATCAGGAAAATGGTGAATGGTGGCCTAGAATATTATTTCATAAATTTCATGAATATCAATTTCTTCAGAGAACTTTCCAGGTATGATTTTACAAGCAACTTAATATAAATACTTCAGGTACCTTTTAGTATCTTACAACATCCAGCTGCTTCTATTAGTTCATGGTATTTGAAAAAGGATTCCTTTCTTTAACAAAGAAAAAGATACTTTTATAAGAAAAATGTTGTTCTTCGTGGTAATCACATGCATGAGTCTGTCCAGACTAGCATTTCTAAATAATATGGATATGCCTTAGGGTTTATGTTTGTATTATTCTTTTTCTCTGTGTAGACTTCTTCGCCAAGTCCTGTAGTTACTGCTCAGTCACTTGGGAAAACACCACCAAAACAGGATTCCCAGTGGGAGACTGCAGCAGACCCTCCAGAGCCTGAGAACACAACGCACCCCAAGCCTGATCAGCCCCAGAAACCACTGACAAACCACGGTGAAGCACTTTCCAAGAACCATCAGTCCCAGCCCCATGCACGTAATCCAGGAGATCAAGCCTCACAGAAGCTGCCTTCTGCGGCATCGAAGCTACATTGTCCCCCTTCACCTCATGTAGAAAATCCTCCAAAATCCTCCACTCCACACACTCCCGCACAGCATGGCTACCTTTCACCAAAGCCTCATGCACAACAGTTAGGATCGCCATACAGACCTCATCATCCCCAGTCCCCTCAAGTGGGAACGCCTCAGAGAGACTCTCACAGAAGTTTTTATGCGGCAGCCCAGAACCTTCAGCCAGGCAGCCAGCAGCAGGCCAGTGGAGCGCTGTTTTCCCAGACATCTTCAGTATCTTACAATCAGTTTCACCAACAGAATTTGAATGCCACTGCCCCGCCCCCGCCCCCGCCCCCACCCCCATCCTCTTCTTACTATCAAAACCAGCAGCCCCCCTCAGGAAACTTTCAAAATTACAGTCAGTTAAAAAGTAGCATAGCACCCCAACAAACTGTTTTTCCCTCGGGACCAAATCAAGCCCTTGCTGGCACAACATGCCAGCAGGCAGTTGCAGGGCACCATGTAACAGGTGGGCATTTTTTGCCATCGCAGACTCCCAGTATTCACCATCAGACTCCATCGGTGGGTGCACCGCCGCCACCGCCGCCGCCTCCTGCTCCAGGACCACACCTTGTGCAGCAGCAGAGTACTCATCAGCATTCAGTGGCACACGTTGTCGGTCCAGTGCACGCAGTGGCAGTGGCCCCCGGATCACACATCCATTCTCAAACTGCTGGTCATCCCCTGCCGCCGCCGCCTCCTGGTCCCGTTCCTCACCACCATCCTACTCACCCTGCAACAGGTCACCAAGGGTTGCAAGCACAACACCAGCATGTAGTCAATTCTGCGCCGCCGCCACCACCACCACCACCTTCCAGTGTTTTAAGCTCGGGGCATCACACAGCATCAGCGCAAGGATTGCATCATCCATCTCATCAAGGGCCCCCACTTTTTCCTTCAAGTGCTCATTCAACTATAACTTCCTATCCCTCACAACCTCCACATCACACACCTTTGGGACCTGGACCTCAGCATCAGCCTGCTGGAACGGGACCTCATTGTCCACTCCCAGGCCAGGGTCCTCACATCCAGCCTCAAGGACCAAACAGTATTCCAACACCTACAGCTTCAGGGTTCTGTCCTCATCCTGGCTCTGTCTCCCTCCCTCATGGCGTGCAAGGACCTCAGCAGGCATCCCCAGTGCCTGGGCAAATACCGATTCACAGAGCACAGGTGCCACCAACTTTTCAAAACAATTATCATGGTTCAGGGTGGCATTAAAATGGACTCCCTGCTTGTAAACATTTTAAAAATGTTCTGTAAAAACTGTATATTTCATATGTACCTGTTCAAGGTACTTTTTAAAGCTTGTACATGATACTTTGTATAAAAGCAAACACCAGTGCGTGCGCTCACTCTCATTGTATCCTTTCCATTTTTGCTTTTAAAATTCCTGAAACTGTGCTATTAAGCCAGTATTAGGCATTTTTTATTTTGTATGTGAACATTCCAGCAGTTTGTTCTGGCAGTAGATTTTATGCTGCATAACTTTAAATTTTATTGTTACAGTTAAATTCATTTAGTGAATGTTTTCTATATTTACTTTTTATACATATGTAATTAAAAAAAACTACACAGCTAAGTGATGGCACTAACAGGTTTTTCATCTGTCAACAGTTTTTGTGCATATAGATAGAAAATGCAATACAGGTTTTTATAGTTTGATGTGGACATGGCTTTTTTCTTTCAACAGTTATTTGCAGACATTGTAATTTAATGTATAGATTGTTTCTAATGTCTCTGACAAGTGCTGTAAATACTGTTTCTTTTGCGTGTAAAACTGCTTAATGCTTCTCATTTGATATAGTATTGTACATATAAGTCTTTTGCAAAAGCTTGTGATCTTTGTGGAAGTAGTACAGTATATGAACTTTAATTTTTTAAAATATACTGTCACCTTGCAGCACTGGTTGGGCATTTTAATTCATGTTAATAAATCACAATTATGTCAGTTTTAATACCCTGTCCTCCTATCTTGCTCTTTATGAAAAATTATGTTGAACTGGTTGTGATATATTTTGAGGAACACTAATCTGATAGAGCCAGAAAAGCCAGGGATGCAAAGTAATGCGTCTGTCTCTTCAGGCTCCTGGTCAAGCAAAGGGAAAATCCTATTTCTCTGGCAGCAAATCAACTATCCCAACCAGTTACTGTTACGCCACTGAAACTTGTAATTCTGGGATGGGGAACCTGTAAACCCTCCAGTTGATGTTGAATTATCCCACCATCATCCATGACCACTGCTTATGCTGGCTAGGTCTGATGAGAGCTGGTGATCCAGGTGGTATGGAAAGCCACAGGTTCCCCACCCCTCTAATTCATCCAAAAGGCTTATCACCTGGAAAAGAAATATTCCAGTTACATATGGAAGGATTACCAAACTCCACTCAAAAACCAGTTAGAAATTGCCATCACAGCAACACCTGCATTTAATTACTATTTTAGGTAGGTTGGGATTAATCATTAGATATTGTGATAGCATCCTGGAAGAGAAACCCTTTCAATATGATGGAACTATGATCCCCACATAGACTTGGCAGCCATGCTTTGTCAGTTTATAATGTTTGAGGTAGAGCTTTTTGATTATAAATGGACTGAAGTGTTGCATTCCACTAAAACATCAAGCACAATTAAATCCATAACACTAAAGACATCACAGTTCTGTGTTGCAGTGGCAAGACAAATACTTTAAGAACACGTTGAATTCACCAGCACCCCCACCTCCAAAAAAAAATCCAAATCTACTTTGCTCCTGGTGTTGCTAAAACTGATACATGAGCAGCGCAGTGCTTGGGACAGTCAGCCAAAGTGTCCACATTTGCTTCCCCAATTGATAAACAAGAGGAAAGGAATTTCATCAGTTTATGCAGGCAGGTTACTAAATGTAAGATGTCTTCCTCTTGTGCTGCAGCCAGTAACAGCCTCCACTGTAGCAAACATATGCATATGGAAAATTTTTAACCCCAAAGAGCAATACATGAGCCTTGCTATAAAAATAACCTTCACAAATTAACCAGCAAACTAAGGGATAATTTTTAGTCACTTTACACTGTAAAACCACAACATTTATAATAATACTTCACACAGTGGATAGCCTAATTTAAGATGCTGTGTGTAATTACTCAATTTGCACATAACAGATTTGACCTATACTACTTGGCTGTAAACTAATCTTATTTTTGCCTTTTGCAATTATTTTAAATTATGCATTACTTTCTGAAAGCATATTGAATTCTCTGTAGAAGATTATAGTAAAAAGTTAATTCTTAGAAATAGTAGCAAAGGCAGTGCAAGCAGCTGTTGCTCACATGGTGTCAACTGTGACATGTCTAGGGCACTGGAGGTACTGGGAATCATAGGTCTCAGGATAATGCAGGCCTTGATCTATCACTTGATTTGCACTGCAAACCTGGCAATGCTATGAGTACACCAAAGAGGTACAGCACCTCAGTAGTAGTTAGGGTTTCCATCCCAGGTTTGTGATATGTGACAAACCAGTTCGTCTATGTCAAATCTAAGAGGGCCTTTCTGTTCCCTAATTTTTCAAGGAAGCTACTAACTCGCCCGAGTGGGTTGGTTCTGTCACCTTTAAGCTTGAGATGTTAAATGGCCCAGGCAGTAACTTTCTTCTTGGCTGGGAAATCCATGTGGTGGGCTTATCTGATGGTGCTTAGCACTCAGAGGCCGGTGCTCCAGCTTCTTGTTGGAGGGATGAAGCCTCCCATGAAGTCTGGCCCCATCAGAATTGCTGATGGCTGCCATTAGAGGGTTGGCTTGGGTGGCTATAGAACTAGGGGGTGGCAGAGACTGGGTTTTAACTATGAAGCACATACGGATTTAGACTGACTTAAAATTTGGTCTGTGGAGTGGAAGAGGGCCCTATTAGGTTGAAAGGAAAATGTAAGACTTTTGCTTCCTGTTAAAAATAGGCATCCCCAAAGAGTACAGCATTCAAGGTAGCTGTGGAAGGTGTATCCTTAGTTTAACGTTCAAGACAGAGCAAACTTACAGCCACTGTGAGTGCTGCACTCTAACTGCAGCATAAACTGCTTTTAGTGTGCCAGCAGGGTATAAGAGTTATAAGAATTGTGGAGTCCCCTTTACAGGTAACTGCAGTCTAAATCTGTGCTCTATAGATTCCTTGATCCAAAGGGGAGACACATGAACAAGAACTGAAGATGATGGACAAGCATACTGCCTGCCACATGTGCCCTTTTCAGAGGAGTATCAGACCATCTCTCCATGAAACCTTTGGTGGCAATTCCTGCTTTCAGGTGTAATTGCCTGTAATGGCAATTGCCACAGGAGCATCTACCATGGTACTTTTCTGCCTTCCATGGTCTGCTGTAATAAGGTATAAATCCTATCAAGGACACTGTGAGCTTCTCAGCTCTGCAGGGGAGTGTGTCACTTGGCCTGAATTGCCTCGTCAAAGGAAGGCAGAAGAGGTACTTTCCGGTTAGGTGTCTTGGTTTCTGGGAAGATGGTAGGCTCCTTGCTGTTGCCTTGGAAATAGGTTGTGTGGACTGCAAGCCCTCTCTTGTAGGATAAACTGAAGACCTAAACGTGTCATGGCCTTTTAAGAGCAAAAAAAGAAAATCTGCATTACTAAGTAGCCTACTCTTGCTAGATTCCTTGACTTGGCTACACTCATTCTCACCACTATATCCTGGATTGAAAATTCGTAGAAACAACATTGGGGCTGTGGGATCTGTTAGCCAGAACGCTGCATGTGTTAGAACACATCCCCAATCCCCAAAAGAGTAAATAGGGACTGTGCTACAAGTGTAAAGCTTGTACCCAAGCACAGTTTTCTCCTTGCTCCTTCATGTGAGGAATGAATATGGGGAAGGAAAGACGTGTGAGCATTGCATAGTGGCAGTAGACAGCTGCTATGTTTGAGCTGCTGAGGTTGCCATGAAGCTGGCTTGGGCCTGCTGTTGTTACACAAGTTAATTGCTAAGTCGATCAATTACCAACTGCCTAATTCTTTTCACAATCTACTCTTCTTGAAATAAGGACTGGGTGGTGCAGGGGTGGACTGAAAAGCTAGAGATGAATAACCCTGTATTTGCTGCAGCAAGATCTGTAAATGCATTGAGCTGCTCAGTGTGCATGTTTGCTTGGTGGAGACGGACACCCTCTGGTGGCCAACTGCCATGCCAAAATGGCTGAAAAAGTGGCTTATTTTTTGTGTATAAAAGGGAAGGACAAGATGGGATTCCTGAGTGGCTGCCTGAGCATTCAGTAACAGTGGCAGGACTGGCAATGGCTGCAGAGGAGCACTAGAATGGTGAAAGAGTTGACTACTTTTCACTACTCTGACCTGAATGTTTCTATCTTCTGTTCTTTATGCTTGAAGGACTTCCATGAGCATTTGTCTGCTAAGCTATCTGAGAAAGGGCAAAGGAAAGGAAAGGAGAGGCAGGGAAAGGAGCACGGTTATGAGGCCCAGAAAGAAGTACAAATAAGGGTCACAGAATAGGAAGGAGTAGATCTGAATCAGAGAGGGTGCAAGGCTAAATAGAGGAAAAGTTCTGTCCTGGGTGAAAATAATGAAGAGCTTGGGGTGGAGCTGCAGAAAACTAAGCTCAAGACAAAATTCTGTGATCCTTGCCTTTCCTCGGCTGGGTGGGAGCTACCTCTTTCATGGATTCCACTCACACCAAACTGAGAACATCTGGTCCAAAAGGTGAATGGCTGTATGGCTGTAAATGAATTTTAGCAGACTCTCCCCCAACCCCTATGTATGGATTTCATGCCCAGTCCCAATCATGCCCACTCACCCACAGTTTGTAGCATAGACCTGAATTTCAGAGGCTGTGTCAGATTATTTCATCAGACTTTAGTACTTTTTAGTGCCAAATGAGAAGGTTATGTGCATGCAACTGATTCACAGAAGACATCTTGGTGGCCCATCCGTGCCTATAGAGCCCTTTCATATGAGAAGGAAGGAAACCGGCAGCAGGAAGGTAGCACAGAAGAGGAGGAGATGTGGCAGGCGCAAACAGCTAGGCATGGAAACCTATTTGGAACAGCTATTTACAATGCTGCTTTACCGTACTTAAAATTCCAAGCCAACTCAAGCATTACACGTTTCAAAGTTAGTATCCCACTGGCTTTTAAATTATACTTCTTTTTTGTTCAATCACCTGAAGTCAATTTAGATTTAAAAAAAAAAACGACACTTCTACGGATTGGTTAAATGGTTAATCTTAAATTTAAAAACTGGGCTGAAACCAAGACCACACACATGGTGCCCATGGGAATGATCCAGTCTGCAATTCATCTTGCAGGGGGGAAAAACTGGACCAAGCAAGCAGGGCTGAAGGGTAGTGACTTTATTTACTCCTGTAGCTGACTGAAACTGACTACAGGAGTCTGGAGTTGGTCTCAGGAGTGATCTCAAGGTAGGGGTTACATTCAGGTTTCAGCTGCTCGCAAATGAGATATGACATAGGACAGTTAAATGTTTTACTATGCGTGTTGAATGCATGGCTTCAAGACTTCAAGGAAGCAGATCCCTAGTCTGTATTTTTAAAAGGTACAATTTCATGCCAATGTGCCCTTGTAAATAAGGGAAGAAGCAAAATGTTTTCTGCAAACTGTAATGGAAACAGGGAAAGAGCCATGCAAGCAATTGATGCCCCATCCACAATCCCATTATACAGGATTTTCTAGAATTCGAGGTCAAAATATAGGGGAAAAAGTTGCACCTGGTTTCTACAGGGGCTATGTTCTCATCACCATGCACAGAATGCAAATTGCTGGGTATAGCACTTCATACACTCTGCAAAGTAGAAGATTTTGTGAAGCTGATTTCCCTAAAATCTCAATCCTGTCTATATACCATCAATTTAGAATAGGAGTGAGGGCAGGGTGTTGAGAGGGTATCTTCTACTTCTTGATTAGGAGCAATTTTATTTTGAGTTATTAACATTTAAATATAAAATTTGGTGTGGTATGAAACAGTTCAATTAGACTGCTAATTTGAACACTGTTTGTTTGTGTACACCCCTTCCCACTGTGCTGTCAGTCTAGAGGGATTTCAACAGAATACCTGCTTTTAAAAAACATTTCGTGTAATGATGGGAAAGCCATGGTTCTTTATGGTCTTTGCACTTTCATATATGGGGCACAGACTCCACGTGTGTGATGGCAAATAGTTTCTTCCTTAGTGATGTCTTTACTAGTGATACACAGGCATATGACTGAATGAACCAAGGCAGGCCTTGGGGATGCCATGCCCTTGTGGTTCTGGCATAAGGGGCTTTATTGTACATACCTGCTGTTGAGACTGCTTTGCTTTGATTCTTTTTTAAATTAAAGATCTGAAAAGCTTATTCAACAGCCGCACTTTATGGACTCTTCTAACAAATACATAACTGTAATAAACCACTTAATTCACCCCTATCAAAACATTCCAGGGAGCAATACTGAAAAAACAACCACTTTAATTAGACAACTGCAAGCACCTCAAACAATTGGTTATTATTACAACACGGGGTATCATCTCACAATCTAGGTTTTGCAAAGGCATGTGAATAAATTTTAAATGGACAAAGTCAAGAAAAAGTGGCACCATAATTAATGTGTAAAACCAGAAATAAATTTACATTCATTCCACTGACTTCTAAAAGAGGCTAAAATACACCTCCATATTTTACATTCTAAAATCTGTATTGCCTATGAGTTCTCTTTTGGAATCTACTTAGCTTTTGTTTTGTTTTGTTTTTTTTAATTTTTGTTTTTTGTACGAAAACACTTAAAATTTGTGTGCAACTTACAAAGCAAGATTAGTTCCTCAATATGTCAATCCATGGGAAAAAATAAGCTAGTGCAATTTGTTTTAGAAACATGTAAAGCTATGTATGGAAGGTGCATGATCTTTAGTTTTAAAGTAAAATTTGCATCCATTTTGTTCTTCCTTTAAAGTCGAGCACCTTTTTTCATCAAAGGTTAAAATTCTGCACAAAGAATGCTTCCCAAGCTATCTTTAAATGCTGAAGCCCAGCATGTCAACCATCCTTATGAAAAAGCAGTGCCCATTTAACCATGCCATCATCTCACAACTGTATAGCAAATGAAAATTTCTTAAAAGCACTTAAAAATAGATATATTTTATCCTTTGAATGCTTAGCCTTCCTTTAAAGTGCCTACTGTAGAATGTAATCTTATAAAAGCAGCCACTTTCTTTCCAAGAAAACACTTTCTATGGGCACTGCTACAGAAAGGAAAGTTTATGTAACTCCTTGAAGTAGTTTGAAATCCACCACATGCAATTTTGTATACTACAACTCACTCTCAGTTTAGTAGCTTTACTCTGAAATTTGTGTCCCCCGTCCCGCTTTTAATGGAAATAAACATTTACAGGGTGCATTTACATACACTATTTTACAAGAACAATGTCCCTTTGCCCAAAGATAGAATTGTACATTATCTCAGTTTTGACTTGATAATGTCCCACACTTGTAAATTATATAATACTCAGCTAAAATAGTTTCCATAAATAGTTACAAAACCTGCCAAAACACATGAGGGGAGAATAAAGGTATTTTGTTCAAAAAGTTGATGTCACACAACACAAGAAACAATGCTTAAAGACACATTAGCAAGTGTTTTCTGCAGAGAGTCAGTAAAACTACTAGCTGAAGACATAGGACTATTCCTCCTCCCAAGAACACAGTGCACAAAAAGCAAAATGTCAAACAGTACCTCAAAGCAAAATAAAGATCTGGGGTTGAAGCCAGCTCATTTATGATCCTGTTAAGAGAATTTATGACAGTCACCATTTAAGTCTGATGTATGGGGAAGTGGGTGCTGGCCCAGCGTCGTATCTGGAAATGTTGCTAGGAATTCAACCAAGGATGCCTTAGGCATTCACCAGCTGAAGCTCGTTTCTCTGGAACCATTTCTAGCATGGGTATCAGGAAATCGGTAAATTCTGCAGCATCTTCCTGAGGCCAACCATATTTCTCCACAAGAACATCAAAGAGGCTCCAAGGTTTCAGTTTGGTAATGTGTCGAAGTTCTCCTGCATTTATAAAAAAAGAAGAAAGATAAATCAATGTTATGATTATTAGGACCTATTGGTTGATTTTAGTCTTGAATTCGGTGAGTACCTGAATGATGATTTAGCCTCATCATGAAAAATGAATTTTTAGCAGTTTTTTGCTCAATAGGCAAATAATAAAAGTGCTTTCATGGATATAATACATGATTTATTTTCTTTAGCTCATTTTATATACAAAGATTCAATATGGGCAACACATTATCAAAACCACATTTTTCCAGTTTCTACACCACAAGCAGATTGATGTTATTCCAATCCAAACATCAAATCTATAGGGTTAGCTATAGCATCTTGAAAAGAAAAACATTCCTAATTGTGAATGTTAAAATGAGATGTTAGAATGTATAAACTAAACCAGAGAGCATCTAACTATGAGAGCTTCGCAGCCTGACTCCAACATGATACTCCAAGGTTCCTGCAAACTCTTTCCTTGGCATCTGTCAGCCTCCCTACACTTCCTGATTTTTATTTAATTTCTTAAGACCTCTAAAAGTGAAAAAAAAATCTGTGTACTAACTGGGAACTTGGCATGCTGCAAAATGAAGTGCTTCCCTCCAGCACCATCTTTATTTAGGTTCAAAGGAGTTGCCTTCTGTGTTCAGACTCCACCATTGCCTTCTATCTGGCTTCTTGCACAAGGTTCTTTTCTTTTCATCTCACCCCTCTGCTACTCCAAGCAATGAGTATTTGGTGCATGGTCTGGAACAAGTGCATAGCAAGACATTTTTCTTTCTCTCTCATAATTCTGAAACCTGGTCTCATCTTAGGAAGTTGGCAGTACAAGCCTGTATCTGACTATGAGAATTATTTACTAAGGGGCAGCTTCTCTTTGACAGCTACAGGACATTAGAGCAATTACCCTAATCCTGCTGAATCTCTTGGGTCACGGCATCTGTAAATCTTACACTCCTATGCTATTAAGGCTGCGGTCTCCAATGCACACTTCCCTGGGATTAAGAGCTGTTGGTGCTTACTGCTGAAGACACATACTGGCCTGACTGTACCCTGCCCATTGCTGGAGGCATCTCTACATGCTTTTCCGAACATTCAAGAACAAAACAAAACAACAAAACATCCAGCACTACATGCACATTAGGCAACATCCAAAGTCAAAAGCATGATGGAAGAGCAGCCTCAGTAAAGAAAGCAAGAGAGACACTTGTAAGGTGCTTTTAAAACCAACCAAACTACCAGCTGACAAGGAATGTTTGTTTAATTTCTATACTGCCCAACAGCTGATGCTCTCTGAGTGGTTTTGTGTGTCCATGAAAGAGGGTGCACACAGCCTGCAAACAAACATATGTACAAAAATGTAAACATGAAGAAAGGCCTTGGTAACAGAGGTAGAAGGATTCGATACAGATGTGAAATTTAACTGAGGAAGAAACATGATTAAATGGAGTCAAACATCACTCATTTGGATCCAAATAAAGTACCCTGAAGAGTCAGAGCATCATCATTGTGCTCCTTCATCTGCCCTCTTCCTTAACATGACCATTAAGGGAAGAAAGTGCAGCACTCATGCTTTAATTTCTCCTGTGTATCTTTTCAATGCTGCCAGCCACTGTAGTATAATGAACAGTTACTCCGAGTATCGCTGAATGCAAGAACTCAGCATATCAGTACCACCATGTTCCTGCCACATAATAAGCATCAAAAGCATGCCAGGAAAAATTCAGTTTGCTGATCAGAAACATGTCACAAGGTGGCGATGTAAATCCGGATTCTGTTTTCTAATTTTTAAAAATTCACTCCTTTTTTCTTTTGCATCCTTTTTTCTTTCTTGGTGGGGGGAAGCACAACTGGAACAGCTTTTTTTTGTAAAACAAATTGCCCATAGGTAACCAAGAATATTATTGGACATAATTCGATTTTCACACCCCTTGTTTTTATCAGACTAATTCACATTCTGACTTAGTCAACATCTCATGAAATAAACCAGCTCAAAGTGGCACCAATTAGATCACAAAATTTATTAATCTGTGAGGCATGGCTAGCATGTAACCAGGATGGATGTCTAGTTCTTTTAGCTCTCTTGCCCACCTGGCCTTTAACTCTTCTCAACACAATTATTACAAATTTGTAAACAGCGGAACAAACCTCCTTACTAGGATCTTACAAGAAAGGAGTTGTAGAGCAACAATCCAGGTTATTCTAACAGGACAAAAAAGAGTCAGTAACAAGCAATCTTAAGCTTATTTGACATAAAAACAATTTTGGCTGAATACTGATCAGTGCTAACCAGCCTCCAACACAACAACCAAACACATTGTTAAACACCTGAAACCAAGTAAATACCCTGGCAGAGATGGTTTCACAGGGGAATAAATTTATAAAGTTCTAGCCACCTCAGTCTCATTACATCTCTCTCACAACCCTCTTGTGAAGGATGGCTGGGCTGCACCACTCAGCCAACCTGCCAGGAGGCCTGTTCTTTGCACCTCCAACAGGCCATCCCTCAGTCCAGACACTGGACACAGCACCAAATTCCCCCAAAGAAACCAAGCCAGTGGCCAAGAGAATTAGTTTTAAAAGGGAAAAAACAGGGGACTAACAGTTAAAGGGGGAAGAGAAAGAACAAGGAAAAGAATAAGGGGTAAGAACAAAAACAGAAGAGCAAAGGACAAACCCAGTTCCCAAGATGACACAAGCTCTTCCTTACGCCACCCTGACAAAAAGAGCAACCAGTCACCCTACTCTACATTGTCTAAGCAATGGGTCTATAAACACCACTTCAAACCAAAAAGAATTTCAGACTGCATACCAGCTGAGACTGACAGATTTCTGCCTAAAATATTTGGCCATTCAAATTTCAAAGGACCTTAAACAACTAGTTGCATGAAAATAAGTAAAGGTAAAGGTTTCCCCTTGACATTAAGTCCAGTCATGCCTGACTCTAGGGGGCGGTGCTCATCTCCGTTTCCTAGCCGAGGGAGCCAGCGCTTGTCCGCAGACAGTCTCCATGGTCATGTGGCCGGCATGACTAAACATCGAAGTGCATAGAATGCTGTTACCTGCCCACTGAAGCGGTACCTTTTTATCTACTTGCATTTGCATGCTTTCGAACTGCAAGGATGGCAGGAGCTGGGACAGAGCAACAGGAACTCACCCTGTTGCGCACATTCGAACCAGCGACCTTTCGATCAACCAGCCCAGCAGCACAGCGGTTTAAACCACTGCGCCACCTGCAGTCCCTTGCATGAAAGTACACACCTGTTAAAAATGGATGAAACACTAATTAAAAACAAGGGCTATCCAGTACATGTGAAGCTATCCAGTACAGGCCGGTTTAAAAAAGGTGGCTCTGCTCAAATTTATTTCCGTTTTTGTGTGTTCCCCATTCCCCAGCAGATGAACTGTGAAAAAAATGGCAAGTGCTACTGTGAAGAGTTTAATTAAGATAAATTAAGGTTGAACAGTACCACAGCCAAATGAGAGGAGGATCTGCTATACCCAGTTTATGATTGTATCATACTGCTTTCCAGATCAAGCAATTAACAAGCATCATCAGAAATAATATGGGCATATATCCCATGTTTCTATGGAAACATGAAACAGTGTCCTCCCACACCGTGCACTTCCCTTTCAGAAGCTTACTGAAGCTGAAACAGAGTGGGCTGAAAGCCCCTTCCACAAAGCAACACTCACAACTTGGAAACTATAGGCCAAACTTCTTGCTTCTTTCCACTCCCACTCTATTTGATTTTAGGCAACCTTAACTTTGCAGGACCAGACAAACTACAAGAATTTCTTGGTTGCAGGAAGAAGGGATTTCTCCATATCAGAGACGTTTATAAGGGACAGTCTATCTCCCCACTCCCACATCCTAAGAGGGGAGAGTTTCCTGACTACAAAAAACCCTATACATGTTTTGAAAACACTATCTAGAGAAGAAGGTATTCCTTGCATGCAATGATCTTTGAAAATGCATGCTTACTCCAGGGTCGTTCCATGAAATGAAAGGTCTACTCTTCATTCTACTAAATGGAATGAAGATTAGATAACCAATTTCATCTAATCAGGGTTAAAATTAGTATGGGAAGCAGACCTGAACACAACTATAAAGAACAGCAATGGTCACATCTCTGGTCTACTGCCCTCTACATCTTCACACAATTTCAACACAAACAAAGGAAGTCACAATAAAGATAATTCATTGCTGGCACTTCAACCTGATAAAATACACTATTTAAACAAATCTCTTCCACTACTGTGCTGCAAAAGATATGGTCACACTGGTTCCTTAATGGTGTGACAATTATTTCCAACAGATGTGGACTTTTGGAACCAAATCCTTTCTCCAATATGTGAAATTATTAACAGTGATTTTAAAATGGTAAAGCCCTACTCCAACTTTCAAAGATGGGAATGAACACCTTTTACATGAGATTGCATTAAATTGGAAATCTACTTCACTATTGATACAAAAATAGATTAACATAATATGGAATATTCTTTCTGAAAAGTTGAGGCATAGATTGAAATGTATGAAAGGAAAACACATATGTATTCACAGAAGTGTGGTCTCTGTTAATTGAACATACAAATGCACATTCAGTAACCTGTGTTCCTCCACCTGCATGATTCAAAACATGCAGCGTTAATACTGTGAGATTCATAATCTGTACTTGTTTTGGTATTCTCACTTTTACAAAAATGATTAATTTATTTATTCATAGTTTATTCTCAAGGAATGTATATCCAGGAATAGGGCATTTAAATTCCTTTATGTGTGGTGTATGACCCTACAAGGGGCTTCATGATTCCTTCTATCAATTATCCTATCTCTCCAAGTCACTGTAGCACGCAAGGCAAGGCAGAAGGAAGACCCAAGAAGAGAAAAAAGTAATAAGGTCACAAAAGTGTAACATTTAAGAGATAAAGCTGTGAATCAGGTAAAACCATCATTTCCTATTTGAATCTTGCCTTTGCCATGGTAGACAAGGTAGCTGCACCCATGCTCTACTCTTTCAGCCGCCACTCATAATCTATCTTATGGCTATATATTTAGAGATGGACCCATTTGAATACTTTAAGTGCAATCATCTCTGATGCTCCTGATCCCATTTGAGGAAGGAACCGCATCCAAGCCTCCTCTTGCCCCTGATGCTCTCAGAATTGAAGTGAGCAAAATCTGTTTCCCTATCTGAATCCGTGCCTTTGAATTCTTAATAGTTTCATACTACAAATAGTTTTCATACTATGAAACATTCTGTTGAACAGCTAATTATAAAAAGCCATTTGTCTACAGATCACACTGTAAAAATTTGGGACATTTTCAGCAGCCAGTTACTAAACTAAATGACAGTTCAGCATGCCAAAAAAGGCAAAAATTGAGGAAAAGTATCATCCAAGTTCTCTCATACACCTCTGAAAAAATACTGGGAGAGGTGCTTGTGTAGGAGAGACTTTTCCAAGTCTTCTAATTAACTTGCCACCTAAAAATTTAAATGCTGAGACTCTAATGTAAAATCCAATCCAACAGCCACTTCATATAATGTACAAGTTGCCAGTGGATCATGCCCAAGATGCCCAATGAGATTCTGCTAACCCACAAAGTTTTTTTTTTTTTTTAAAGGAACTGAGAGAAGGAGAGAGATGCCCACACAACTATCCAGGCTAACCTTAAATGGTGTTGGAAAGTTCTATGAGGAGGGCTGTCCTTAGCCGTTTTCTTGACAAACAGTTAATCAAGACCTGTGAAATCACCCTTAACACATCCAAACATGTTCTAAGACCACTGTGTATTTTAACACCCTATGAACACAGGATACTGAGGGGAACAACTAGAGTAATGTTCAGGAGACAGCAGGTGCAGCCTCACTGTCTCCACCTGCTCTGCTATAACCCCATTCATACAGGGTTCAGTACAGCACAGCGAGCCTCCCTGTGTTAAACAGGCTTCCCACTTTAGACCTTTCCCTGCTGGGTGGTAGAGTCAAACTTTGAGAATTCAATGGGGAACAGGGATGACAAGTGCAGCCCCACTCTGCTCCTCCTGTGATGCTAACAGCATGGGGTGAAAGCCTGCAGAGGGTTTATGGGTTTTCTTAATTGGTGTTCGCAAATGGCATTTCAGGGCATTGACTTCTCAAGTGAGCGCAGTGTTGTAGTCTCAGACTTTTCAGGGTAATACAATGTGTTTAGAGTGTACAGCATCTTTTGAACTGAGTTTCAAAGTCTTACTAACAGTTTGACTACTTAAGTGTTTCAGATTAAAATAAAGCGACAATGCATCTTAAGTATTTTCCTTTTGTTTCAATGCTGCCCAAAAGGCAGTCTTCTTTTATTGATAGTTGTTAAAAATTGAAAGTTCACACGTACACAGCTTCTTTAATAATCTCTTAAAATTCAACAAGGTTCTTCATTAGCCATTTTAAAAAGTGTTGAGTGTCTTCGTTTGGAATGAGCTACAATTTAAATTAGGGTTGCAGAAATACTGTTACCTTTTTTGGTGAAAAACTCCTTGGAATATTTCCCCAACATAGCGTATTTTCGAGGGATTTTCCCCAGCAGTTCAATGATCAATGCTATGTGATCTGCATTTGAGAACATTTCAAGCAAAACAGAAACATACAACAGTTTAATCAATACATTGCATGCATACACTAACACTGGCCCGGTACAGACAGAAACAGATTTCTTCTCATTGAAAATGCATGAATGCTATTAATGTGGAGATGGAGACTATTCATTTCTGGGTGATTTGGAAAAGCAATTCATTTCACCAGAAGAAACAAATTAAGAGGTGATTTCATTGTCTGTGAATGTGAAGGAAGTCACTTTCATTGCTTTTCTAATATTTCTGTTGCAAATAGGGGTATGCATTTTAGTGGCACAGGCTACATCCAGTAACTGCCAGTCCACTTCTGTCTGCATCACGGCACCTTTCAAAAAGAAGAGGTACTACCTCTGCGATTGAAGAATTCCCGAGAATATTTTCCAGATAGAGCAAAGTGCCTTGGGATATTGCCTAGCAGCTCTATGATGTGTGCTATGTGGTCTATGAAGGAGAGAAAAAAGGACACAGGAATGGGAAGGGCAGGGAGAGGATGGGATAAAAGAAGAGGAAAGAAAATGAAATTAGTTAAAAAATTCAAAAAAGTTCCAAACACAACAATGTTTGCAGAAAACCCATGCAGAGGTTTCTAGGACCAACAGAATTCTGGCATCATTAGTACCACATAGAAAGAAAAGCAAGTAACTGATGCCCACAGTATTACCACTGCAAGGGACGTTACAAGCAAACAAGCATGGAAAATGGGCAGGTACACAGATGGAAGCAGGAGTTAATTCTGGCCGGCTGACTTTTCATTTAGTAATCAGCTGTCACAAGCAGAATGTTCAGCATTCTAAAGATCTAGTTTGGTGTCAAGGGATGCATCCACATTGTGACAAGTTTTGTTTCTAAAATGTTTGTGTTTTCAATGTTTCCACACACAGATGCAGATCTTACAGGAGAAGATCAATCCTTTCAAGGCTTAGGAAAGAGGAATTTGTCTGCAGAAGTGAGACTGCTCGCCTACTGATGGGACTTAAAACTAAAGAAGAAAAAAATGTGATGTTTATATTCTGAAATGAAAACATTTTTGTCAGTAATCAACTTGAACAAATGTACTTATGCCCATTCACAGAGAGGAACAGGACAGTATCTGGACATTTAAAAGATACATACCTTCATCTCTGGAATAGTCTTCTCCAGAATGTGGTTCAAACAGATAATCACCAGTTGCAAGCTCAAATGCCTAAAACAAAGCAAGACATTTATGGGCAACTCAGGTATGAGGAAGAACACCCTCAAAACATCACAGATCTTGCCACCCACAGAAGGAATGATTTTAAACAAAACTATGTTTAGTTTCAAAATGCAAATAAAGAGCATTTCCTGAAAGACTACAAAGGTCAGTGGACACACATATTATCAACAACCTATCTATATATTACCCAGTAGGCAAAGTTCTTTGAACAGTTTACAAAGTATGAAAACCTTTAAAGTATAGTATACAACTTATACAATGCAATTAAATATTTAACTACAACTGCTAGGCTGCGATCTAAAAAGCAGTCTTAGGTACCTGCAGTAATGTTAATATGCACAGTAGAACCACACCATATCACACTGTTCTTTCAGAAATATCCTTCCAAGCTACTATTTAGGATATGCTTAGTCTAATTCTGAAAAACTAGATTCAAGCTCCACCCTAGATGAATACAGGCAGTAGTAGTCTAAAGGAATGAACAGCACAGAAAAATAATTTCTATACCCATAGCAATACTGCACTCTAATATTGTGCAAACTGCCCCAAGTCAGCTCTATTAGGTGATAGGCATGAAATGTTTTAGATAGTTTTCCCTGTAAAGTCCACCGTTTTCATCAATGAGAAAAAAACTTTTCCTTTTGCCGATCATATTAAAAGGAGAAACTTTCAAAAGTCTTGTCAAGTTTGCAGTCAAATGCAAATTCTCATGTGGAGAATAAACTATCTCCTGGCACTCCAGGTTCTGGGGCACCTGCATGATGACATAATCATGAGCACTGACATGTGTACTCTCTTCTATTATTCTCAAGGAACAGCGATTCAACTGCATCCTCCTTTTGTCCCATCATTTCACAAAATATCATTCCCAGTGGCAGAAATGAAAAGAACTATTTTAGCATCTTCTCTAACACTGCCTGCCTTAATTGTTTTGTTTGTAATTCTCCTTTCAAAAAAATGAGCGATTACATGTATGGTGGTATTATTTTTCTCTCAAGTTATCATTCGATTATTAATTTTTTATATACCAACACAAATCTACAAATGAAACTATACTAACAAAAATCGCCTTGTGGCACTCTGTGGCTAAATGCTAATGAACGCCAGTGAATGCGTAATACAACAATAGGAGTTTGATGGTAGAGCCCTGATCATTATAATCCCTTCTGATGGCTCTAATCCAAACAGCTTGAATAAAGACAAGCAATGGAATCACAATTCTCATTCTCATTCCCAGCAATGGCTCTGGCCAAACTTTTGCAGCTGAAGTGGATTCCTGTATATCATGGCTTTCCAGCTGGTGTAATGACTTACCATGCAGTGTTTGCTCAACCCTTTTCCCATCGAAACACTTCTTTCCCTGACTTGCTAGTGAGGAAAACATAGCTTGATAAAATAATAGGGTCCTAGAGAATGACAGTGCCATTTCTGGCACATTTAGCCACTGTACATAGCTTTAGTGTAGCAGCAACTGAAATTATATTCCTCCCTTTGGGATGGGGAGAAACTAAGGCCCTCTGCACTGGATCTCACAGAAGACTCTCAGTATATACACTGTTCATACTAAATGCCATTATAACAGCAGAACAGTCTCAAATCCACAGCATATCATGGAACATTTATGTTATATAAGCCCTATGTATGTACGTCTTTTATCAGGAAAGCACAGCTAATTTATTTAAAGTTTGTTACTTCTTTAAAAAGAATGGACTAATTAATGCAGACTGCACATCTTCTGCCATCTAAGCAAGTTGAACAGCATCACAGTGGTTAACAAAAGGCATCTGACATGTTGCATGGATTATATACACTGCCTTGCAAAGACATCCACTGTTCCCACCCCCAATCTTTCCACAATTTTGTATGTTACAATCTGGAATTGAGTCAGAGGGTTACACTAGAGCTCATTTAAGCATGTTGCAGCAAAGTAGATGAATGCGCATGCAACCAACAAGTGTCAGAGTTTTTTGTTCACTTAACTTTTGCACCACAATAAAAATGGTTTGCATTTTTGCAGTGTTGAGTATCTTGCATACATCAAGCAGCAACACTGCCAATTAAATCCATTTCAGTTCCAGACTGTAACACAACAAAATGTGCAAAAGCCAAAGGAAGGGGATAAATGCTTCTGAAAGATACTGTACTTCTGAAGGACTTTACGTAAAGATGGACTTCCACATCACAGTGGAGGCAATACTATGGCTGTAAGCAAACCGGGTTGAACCTGCTGAATAATGTACTTTGCCCTCTGGCTTTTATGAAGGAGCCTGTCTCTTTCTTATGTGGCCTTCATGGTAAAACTCAGTTATGGAGGGAATTTATGAGAGCGGGAGGATACATACAATCCCATACCTTTGTTGCACTCATCAAGCCAAGGTTTAAACGTTATGTCTACATATGTCCTAACTCCAGTACACAACACACATTTTTGTTATGTACAGGCCAAAAAGCAGAATGGCCATTTTAGTCCTCAATGCACAGCTATCTAAATCCCCAGATGACAACAATATACTCAGCATAAATTTAACTGCGGTTGTGCTGATAGTAATAACAACCACTTGTGCAGGCCAAACAAAATTGAAAAACAGGTCTTCTCCTAGATATGCCCATCCCAATTTACTCTTGTTTATTCGCTTACTAGACACTAGATTAGGGAACATTAGATTTAGTAGCAAATCCATTTTTTTGCAGTTTAATATCAAATCATTTTACCGTTAGTCCCACACATTACAAGTCATACTGTGCCATCAACAGAACAGTACACAGATTGCAAGTTATGAACCATTTTGACCACAGTAACTTGTAGTATAATTTATCTATTTTTCAGAAATATAAACGTACACATAACATTCAGCTTGTATTTAATCATAAGGCCAAATTCTCTCCAAAACCAGTTCCACTCGCACAATAAAATTTGGGCTTCTGTTTCACATATTGAATCTCCCTATGCTATTGCACAAATATTGTTATTTAGATGGTAATATAAAGCAAACCAAAAGAAGAGTTTCATATATAATTTCAGCTGTGCACAAATTGACAAAAAACTTAAAATATCCCCCTAGGTACAGAAAACTAGCTTTTTGCATTCTACTCAACATCTCAGAACGTCAGAATTCTACAATGCACAATTTAATCACTTGGGCAAACACCATCACAACTTCTTCCATTTAAGAACTATTTAATCCTAATTTATTTCTGATGCAGCAGGAAAAGAATGTTAGAGTATAGTCTTTTGCTTACCATGCATGCGGTACTCCAGATATCAGCAGGTGTACTGTAACCTGCTCCAATTAAAACCTCTATCGATCTATACTGTCGTGTCTGGATGTCTTCTGTAAAATGTTTATGCTGAAAATGGAAAAGATAGTAGTGATAAGAAAGAAAGGGGATTTAGGTGAAAGAACAAAGAGCAAACTCTTAGACATTTAAAATTGCACTTACCACCCAGCAAGCATTTCCCAGGTCAGCAATTTTAACTCTAATTTTATCTGCATTCCTTGGATCCAGTGGATTCACCAGTAAGTCAGCAGCACGAGTTTTTGCTACTGTAAGTAAAGAAGTAGCATTGTTAGTATCCATGGCATGTAATGAAGCATTCATTTTAAAAAGGCCTCTTCAGGTATAGTTGGAATTGCATTTAAGTTAAGAATATCTACTCTATTTCTCATCAATATTAATTTCTTTTTAAAAATTACATACATTGTGATACTAATACAAAGAAAATTTAAATATGCATACCACATACTTGCAGAGACAAATAACCTAACATGTTTTATCTTATAATATTATGCACAACTCTGAAAACAGCCCGTGTAACATGGGAGAATAAAAACTTGTCTAGAATATGCTATTCTGACAACTTATATTTAGGTCAATATTTTACACTTCTTCCCCACCCCTACAAAGTAAATCACACAGAGAATATAAAGAAAACTTTATTAAGTTAAAGTCAGATAAATGTTATTCATAAATACAACACACTTGTGTAGATCATCATCTTATAACATGTGCACAGTTTCAGAAGACCACAGGTTTTGAACAGTTTTAACTGTCAGCAATACTCTGTACAAGAAAGGGAATGTCCATCTGCCTCCTGTCTTGTTGTCAATTATTACTGCAGGAGTGAAAATGAAGGCCCCAGATTTCTCTAAACCATCTATAGAATGAAAACTGATCCTCATACAAAATAACAAAGTCAGGTTTAGCCACACCTGAAATTTTGAAATCACAAAGCATTGCTTTCTGAAAAGAAACAGACAGCCTTTTTAGTGGCAAATTATTTCCTACTTTCCTTGCTTTGTTCATATCTCAAATGTAGTTCTAGTAGCACCTGACCATGAGAATGAATTACATTTGCCCCTTTCTTCTCACCATCAAAAAATAAACCAAGAAATCCATACCACACTATACAATTATTTGAGTGATTCTATTCTGAGAAAGTATCAAATTGGCATCATTCAAGCAGCATGCTAGGCATTTTTGGTAGAGGAGCAATCCAATCCTTCGGCCCTTCCCTCTTCCCTTCTTTTACCAAGTTCTTTACTCCCGTGCCTTCTTTCTTTCATCAAAAGAAGGTTTTCACCATATTCTAGCCTCACATTTTCTCCACTATAAAACAAATGCAGACAAGCACATTGGTTGGCATAATAAATTACCGTGCAGCTATAAAATATTATAGCAAATACTTGGCATATCATCCTGAACTAATGCAACTGATTTCATGGCAGATAAATCCTTCAAAGGACAGCATGTGGGAGTCTGGTTCTTATCCTCATCCCATCACTTTTACTCAGTTGTGTATCATTCTACACTATTATCCTATGCTTTGTGGTAGTGGCAGCTAGTATACAAGAGCCAAATCATGCAATGGTACTGGTAAAATGCAAAGCTACATTTACAACAAACTGGCAAGGCAAACATGTTCTGAAATAAAGTGAAGAATGCAGTAACGGAACATTTACATGTTGTATTTTATATTCCTGTACCAGTAAAGTGTGAATATCAAGTGAAACTGTTTATTCTTTAGCCTGAGTATTTCAAATGTGCATCAGTGATACAAGAACAACAATGGTCAATGCCTAATCCAAGATCAGTAAATTATATTGGGAACTTAAAGCACCTAAGAGCTAAAAAAAAATCCGAACTCTTCACTTTGCATCATCCCTTTTTCAATGTACTGAATTACCCTTTGTGCCATTTTCTTATGCTAACCTAACAGAGGTTCATCAGAATTCCTAAGAATGAAGCCATTCTCAGAAGCATTCTCTGATTATTTTCATTCTCACTATCCTCTAATTCATCAGGTAGATAATATCTATTTTTGGAATCTGTTTACTCATTGAGCATTATGTTCACTGCCTACTAAGCCTGACTCCGTTTCACACCCACACTTATAATAATTACTCACAAAGCTTCAACTATTTTCTAGACTCCCACATACAGTTTCTAAGTAAAGCTTGTTAGAGAAATTCCTAACAAACTCTATCAACTCAACAACTCACAATAAAAAAAAATATTCATGAAGAACTGTACTGCTCCTATCTGGCTGCCAACTCTGAATCTGAATACATCTACTTCTATATAGGATGGTGGAAACTTTTGTGGACAGTGGAAAAGACCAGAGATACTGCCTCTCTGCTGAAACTTCTACAGGAGAGGACTTTTTAAAAATTGCATAGAAGCACATCCCCTGCCAATCCTAATCTGCACTTCCAGATTACTTATTGTAAGTACTTTCTAGACAGGGCTTAAGCTTCCATTTCCTTCCCCGCTTCCATTCCACCATAACAGACATCCTCAACTTATTTTAAGTTAAAAATGCCCTGCAGATACCAATGTGGGGAGGGGCAATGGATATAACAGTGCCTTCCACTGTTAATACTGCAAGTTAGAGAAGGGGCTGAGGCTGTTTGAATGCCTAGCCAAATATCTCCTAAGGTTACAACAAAGGTTAATTTATTCAAATGCCCTCTGCAAGACCCTCCATGCACAAACGACTGTCATGTAGAACCTTTGCCAGCTATTAACTTGCAAATATCCACATGGTATTTTAAACATCAAAAAATCAAAACTATCATATAAAGACAGACCCACGTTACAGTAAGATGGACTCCCCTCTTCTGTTATCCCCTGTATTTTAGTAGACATGCTCAATCACAGCTACCCCAGCTTTCATGAAAATGCTGGATTTTGTCACTGTTTTCTATGGATGTCATTGTGGATCTAAAGAAGCAAGAAGTTCCATCTCCAGAAAGTAGGGCAAGTGATTTACTTGAGATTTATCTTTATAGCTTCAACTATTATCAATATTTCACACATTCTGGAAAGAAAAAAGGTCTCCCTGTTGGGGTAGCTTGTGCAGAGAGAGAGAGAGTGAGAGAGAGAATATGATTTGTATGCTTTATAAATCTGAAGATGTATAGTGAATATATTTGATTATATACCCTTTTTAACTTTTTGCAGCAATAGCAGATTTTGAGTTTTAGATTTATGAAACTGAATTGACTACCAAACAAACTGCACAGCTGCTGAAACCCGTGTCACTGTTTTCTCTGCCATCTGGTATTTTGCCAAGCATTCTCATTCTTCTTTTTAGAGACCCTGACGATGACAATGATGGTGAAACAATATGAACTGTGCCACCAGAGTAGTTCTAATCCTATGAATAGGCCCAGTAGTACAAGAACATGAAGGCACAGAGTGACAAATATTCTCATTGAGGCTGTCTAGCTTGCTTTTCCAAAATTAATGCTGCAGATGCAGAATGATAGAGGCCATCTTGCCATTACACCCGAACCATCTGACTGAAGAAAACTTGCAGGAATATAAATTGAGTCAAGGGGCATCAAACACTGAGATAAAATGAGGCTGCTTCCTCTGTTTTGGCTGTTCATGGCCCAGATCTTCTCTTTTGTTCTTCCTTTTTATGACCAACCAGACACTCAGTTCCCAACATTTTTCTTAGGTTGCAAGTGAAATTCTTCTGTTCCATGATCCAAGGATTCTACCAATTCCTGGCTAGCCCACTGCAGTTCCTATGCCACTTTTGGTTCCTCTTTCTTTCATACAGCCAATATCCTTTTAACAGTCCATCATGCAAATGCAGGAGAAAAAAAGGAAACATTATTAGATGCAATGAAGATAATCATGGAGACACCTATAAATCACTCTCCTACCCTGTCTCCCAACCACCTATTTCCAGTCAAATTGTTTTGAATAAAGCACAGCACATTCAAGGGTGCTCTGCATGACTAACAATGTACATAGATAAATTTCATCCTGTCTCTAACTGTAACAAACAGTTGTTTTCTATTCTTCAAAGCTGCATTCATTATGCCTATCCATACTATGGGAGAGGAATATTTTATGGCTACCCAAGCAATCATTATTAGAGCAATTTATTTTATTCCCAGTAAGATTCCTTTCACAGTCAAAGACCCCTAGCATCCAATAACTTCAATGCTAACAAACAGCAACAGAAATATTTTGAAAAAACAAGATCTTACCTGGATTCCTGGTTGAAGTGCAGATTAGAGAAACAATGGTTGGGATTAAGCTGACTTGAGTATCCGGGATTACATCAAGTACTGGTTGCAGGGAGTTAGTAAAAAAGAGCACATCACTGTCTTGAATAGTAGAGTTTCTGGCAAAATGGCTGCCTTTTTTCAATTACTGGAACAACTGTAAAGCTGTCTGTTTCTTACAACACTTTTGCTATTTTGTATTCTTTTGTTATTGTGCAGTTGTAGAATTGAATATTAAAAACTGGGAATATTATCCATCCAGATGCAGAACAAGCATCATGTGCAGCTAAAGGCTGCTCTTTTCAGTAAATGATATAACTGTCAAGCATCAGAGATACAAATTAAGTATGGGGGCTCTCCTTTGTCCAGAACTCTTTTCAAGGTTAGGAACTGGAGTCATGATACTTTATTCTCTGTGGAAGTGGAGGAACAAAACATTTTATTTCCTCCATCCAACCCCAAAAAACAACCCCAGAACCCAAAAAACACCCCCCTCCACTTGAACCACCCCTTACAGTGTGAGGTAGTGGTTAGCATGCTGGACTGCAACCCAGGAGATCCAGGTTCTAGTCCCCACTCAACCATGAAGCTACCTCACACAGTTGTTGTGAGGATAAAATAGAGGAGGAGGAGGAGGCGGAGGAGGAGGAAAGTCACCTTGGGTTCCTTGGAGGAAAGAACAGTGGGATATAAATGTGGTGGTAGTGGTGATATGCTCATCCAAATAAATTAAAAAACAGCGTTTGTGAATTCCTGGAGTGTCTGTTGAACAGCACAGCATGATACGTACTCAACAATTCTTAGTCTTCTCTTAGAAATATCTGGTAATCTGGGAAACATCCTGGTTCTCAATGTATCAGACTTTTTTGATGTGCACCTCATTTCCAAAATCATGGCTCATCACTAACTATACATCTCCACACATTGCTAAGGACTCTAATATCCACATCTATTTCTGTGGTTCAGCAGGAATCACTCTATGTAAATTCCAAAAGAAATATTTGCTTCATGTGGCTCCAAGAGTAACTTCCAAGACAGCAAAATGAAAATAAAATTTGGATGAATGGCCACAAACCCTTTCTTAAAATGCATAAAAAATGTTTAAAATGGCTGTGAACCAGAATGGCAACTCAGAAACTGCTTCAGTTATATAAGAGGCAAAATGCAGCATTGCAAACACTTTAGAGAAATACACAGTATACGACCAAAATGAAATAACATACACTACACACACACACACACACACACACACACACACACACAGCAAGAGAATGGGCAACAGTACCATTTATTGCCTGAGGTGCCTTCACATCCTAGGTTGGAATCAATACCACTACTTTAAGACATGTCCAAGAGCATGAGATACCCCAGTGTGATTTCATCTCTTTCCTCCTTTTTACTAACAGCAGACCTCCATGTCGTGTCACAAACAGCTTCTGAATGCCCACTCGACTACTGCAATATGACCCGGCAGGCTACTGCTCAAGAAGTACAAGCCTGACAGCATTTCTGGTGCACAGCACAAATTATATCGTTCTTTGGATTCCAGCCCTAACAAAGCATTGCTGTGCTATTAAGAGGGAAACCCACTTCTAAAACTGGCAAAGAACAGTTATGTAATGCAAAGTTTAACAATACATCTGACACGCATGTGTGCACACAAATATTCACAATGCCACTATGTTTCCTATTCTGCCTTCCAATGCAGACACACCTTTTCTAAGTTTAACTTCATATACTTCTTACTAAACAGAATTTGATCAGCAGAACATTAAAAGAAAAATGCTTACTTTTTGGCAAGTCTCCAGTACTAGATGCTGAAACTGTCCTGCTCCTATCATGGGATGGAGTACTTCCCTCTCTTTCCGTTAGAGTTGATTCTTCAGAAATAGCTGAACCACAGGCTACAGAATCTAAAGCTCCAGAGAATACAGAAGCTGAGAATTCAGAAAACTGTGACTCAGGAATTTTATGACGTCCATTTGGCAATTCACCATTAAATTGTTCATAGGAGCTACTATAACTGTAATCATTTTTTGCATTTGGCTCATCAAGATTATATTGCTCAGCATTTGGGCATTCTTCCTCTTCCTCCTCTTCATCTTCAATCTGTTCTTCCAGTAAGAAAGGACCATTTATAATGTGACCATTTGTTTTGGGAGATTCTATCCAAGTGGGATCTGTAGACTCTGAGTTGACAAGTTCCTGTTCAACATCATCATCTTTCTCTGTGTTTTCCTTTTCTGTGTCTTCCTTTTCATCCTGATCTTCTGTTTCACCTTAGGGATATATAGATTAGTTTACATTCTCTCAGTGGATGAGTTATGATCTTAAAAACATTAGTGGCAAGACTCCCAAAGTATTATTTGCATATTCAAACTTTCAGTTCCCTTTATAATTAACAAACTATTTCATCTTGGTTTGCAAAATGAATTAAAAGATAGTACATATTTCTGGTTATGTAAATTACCTTTCAGGACTTACTTTCTGTATTGCTATTAGGTTAAGCAATGCTTTTTATATATCAGTGGATGTTTCCTTCTGCAGTTGCCCTTGCAACAAAGACTGGAGGTTTCTGCAGCAACTACATTTAATTTTTGCATCACTCTGCATAAAGCACTGTGATCTAAGCAGGTGGTACACCCAACTTCCCAGTCACATATCTCCTTCTGCAACTATATTCAAAACCATATAGTCAAAACGTTTGCTTTTCGCATTGCTAAGTATGGGAAATGTGGTGGTCAGATGGATAGTGGAGACCAGACAGTCTAAGCATGAAGCACCGATTCTGGTTCACTTCAACCAGCTGCCTTTGGGTTTCCAAGACCCATTCAAGGTGCTGGGTACCACCTATAAATACCTGATGGAGTGTAATACCCATATCCTGGTATAAATCTACCTACTGACTACCATCAATATCTAAGGCCCAATCAATATCTGAGGCCCAATCAATATCTGAAGATGTTTTGGAGGCCAAAAACAAGAGAAAGGCCCCACCCTGATTGTGAATGCTCTCCCCCATGAAGCCAAGTCTGCATTTCAGTACCAGTTAAAGACTTTCCTCTACATATACAGGCATTTGGCAGGAATTTTACCAGCATAATTTCTTCTGAAAGTACATTAAAAGCTTCAGAATGTACCTATAAAAAGCTTGAAAATCTAGAGCTACACTGCTTTTACAATTTATTATGCAAGACTGCTGATCAACTATGGCATTCAAATAAACTCCAAAAAGTGGTCATGACTGGCTTGTGCATAATCTAAGTGCTCATGCTGGAATATGACAAACAACAATGATCAAAGTAAAAGCCACCATAATTAAACGGTGACAACAACAGCTTTACCAAAGATTGTGTGCAAGAACTGTGCAAAGCAGGAAAGGAATAGCAGAGGAAAAGGAGATGAGCAACATGGTAAGGCATAACTTGTCCAGCAAACAAGGGCCAAACTTTGGATAGCCTCCCATATAATCCTGAAGAAGAATAAAAGTCACACAGAGGAGGACACAAGGCAACAGAACATTATCCCAATAGGTACCCAGTGTTACATTTGTTTGAGGCAGGAACCTAAAGCACTTCCATTGGCCCGACAGAATTTTCACTTTAAAAAGCTGCTTTCCATGCTGTTTACATCCTTTCATTTCAAAAGCAATTTGCTACATGGCATAAATCGTTCTGTAATTCACAGATTTATTTTTAGGGAGCCTTTTTTTCTCTGCCCAATGTCTTTATAACATCAACCTAGAATAAACCAAGTACCAGAGCATGTTTGTAATGGCTTCTCTAGACATATCTTTTTCTTAAACAGGAAATAAAACAACCAACCCTTACCATCTTCATTTCCAGGTTCTTCATCTGCTACCTCCTCCAACTCAACTGTTTTTAGTTTGACTTCTGGATGGTACTCATCCTCCTGATTGTTGGATGGTACACTAGAGGTTACATTTTCTTCTATTTTTTTCCTTTCAGCTTCTCGTTCCAATTCCTCGATTTCCTGTAAACGTTTTTCTAGCAGTTCAGCCTGCCTCTTTTGCTTTTTTTTCAGTTTCTTCTTTTTGTTTTTAGATATCTTTCCAATCTAAAAACATTAAGAGAACTAATTACTACTTATGCTCCTTAAAAACATCTAGAATGGGAGGTAAAGTTATGACACAAATGCCCAACATGAGTGAACTGAGAATACTAATACATGGTACTGCAGAATGAACTTTCCATAAAATTAAACTCAATACACAATTCAGAAGATAAAATAGCTTTGAGCCACAGTGAATTTGCTGCTGTAAGAGATATAACATAATGAGAGAGAAACCATTATTCTCATTATATAAAATCATTGCAACTATATTAAACCTAGTGTTCAGGCTACACAGATCATCATTGCCTTCTGTGAGAAAGCTTTTCTAATATGCTGAATGACTCATCTGTCTTCAAGCATTCCTGTTCAATAAGTGCCCTAATTCTAGCAACTGTCAAGACGGTCAAAACCTATTTTTTTCCTCAAATCACTGTGGAGTTATGGACCCATAAAATTATACTTCAACAGGAAAAAGGGCTGAGCAGAGCAATTCAAAATGGGGCCAGGGAGGAGCAGATGAGAACATCCACAGCTGGATTCCAAGCTGTGCTGGTCACACCAGCCAAGAGGAGGGTTTTGGGGTTTTGGGGTTTTTGTTTTTGTATTTTTCATTATACCCGTTCCAAAGTAGTAGGCTGGAAGAGACTGATTTGGGATCCAGTGAATTCAAAACTGTTTCCTCCTCATTCACAAAGTATCCTATTTCAGAGGTGGGAGGCCACCCCTTCAGCAGCAGCTTTCTTTTGTGCAACTGAAACAGCGGAGATGTTCCAGTGCCCCATTCTAATGCCCACAAGCCACCAACAATGGGATGGGAAGCATCACAGTATCAATCTGCTTACATTTTTTGTAAAAAGTACACAAAACAGTTTAGACAATGTCTCATATGAGATTCTATATCAGCTGGGAAAAGGTAATGTTAATTAGCCTATTTTTTAAAATGTTGCGTACTGTCAGATGTATATTAGTTACACCTTGAAAATAATATAACGTATGTATTGGATTATTTTTGCTCAGGTATTTAGATTGATTTTTGTAAACACTAGCAATTTTTTGCAATCCTGCAAGAAATTATCCATGTTATAATAGGAAAACTACTGCCACAAAACTGTAGACAGGATGCTATTTCAGTGAGGTCAATGGCAAGAAATAAAAATGGCACCAGTATAATTCTATACATGTTGATCAGAGGTTAGTCAATAACTCCTAGGTAAGCGGAGGGAGGATTGCAGCAATGGTCTCACAGGATTTGGGTGCTAACTCTGCAGGACTTTGGGTACTAACTTTGCAGAACTTTTCTCCTTCTTACCAGCTGGCCTGACAAACTCCTTTGGAACCCCCTCCTATGCCTCAAAAGCAATTTACCATTAAACATGGAGTATAGCCTTTGGGAAAAAAGGATATTTCAGAAGAATTTTGGATACTGGTAAGTGAAAATCATCAGCTTAACCAAATAAGGAAATAACCAGATAGTGGTTTTCAACAAAAAAATAATTAACTATTGGATATTAACAAAAGAAATGCATGCAATTATTATTCAGTCATGTGTGGAATTCTGCACACACAAAGGGCATCTCTGCAAAAGTTATTAACTTGATTCATTACTTTTGCAGGAGAAAAAGTGTGCCCTTTCTTTTGCAGTGGAGATTACCATATTTTTCCGTCTATAAGACGTCCCCAAGTATAGGATACCCCCCCCCACTTTTCCTACCCATCTCCAGCAAGCAAGCTGCTGCCATCCCCCCTGGCAGCGCCTCGCCGCCCCCCGCATCCCACCTCACCACCCCCCCATGTATAAGATGCACCTCCATTTTTAAGTAAATGTTTTTAAGAAAAAAGTAGCATCTTATACATGGAAAAATGCGGTATATTTCTCTACCATTATATATATTCCATTATCCAACCAAAAGGTGGTGCTGAGGCACGGCTGCAATATAACAGAATTGTGATAACAACAGTTTCATTCTGCTTTAAATTTAACAGTTGACTTTTCTCACTCTAAAAAAATGCCATGAAAATGGCTGGAGAACATAGGGGGAAATTTACATGAGTGAGGGATCACAAGCATATGATAAATGTCTCACATAGAGATGCCTGTAACTTGAGAACTGAAGACAATAGAAATAAAGCATAATGGTTTGGCCACTCACTACACTGGTTCATGCATAATATTAATAAACAATTTATTCAAATGACAGTTTGTTGCCCATCCCAAGGGATTTCTGAACAGAGAGCTGAACAAAATCTGCTTTGTTTTTCTCAATCCCTTACTTGTCTGTTTCCCCCTTCCACTACCTTCTCCTTCCCCATATCCTAAATGCCTTTGAAGTACTGTAATGCTGACATATAGAGCAATTGGGCTAGCTGTGGTTTTAGTTTCTGTTTTACTTTCTTGCCTTCTACTCACTGTAGCTTAGGAAAACAACCCATGAACCCATGGCTCAGGGTTTATATGTAATGACAACTGATGTTTAAATAACCTAGAGTTCACAACCCAGCAACTCATGGGTTCTCTTTCTGGGTTGCTATGGTTTGTTACAGCAGTTAGATTCACACATCACAACATGTCTGAATTTAGCAACCCATGGTGTAAATAAGTGAGTCAGTATTATATATGAACCACTCTTGAGCTTCCAACTGGAGGGAAGACTCAAGTGGGAAACAAGGGCTAGGAGTGCCTTTCAGATGCCAGGATACTCAGAGCACCTCAGCAGCTGAGCACCAAAACAAGCTGCAGGCTTGCTCTCTACTTCCAGAGAGGAAGCAACTCCGTACATAAAACATCCCTTATCCTATCTTCAGTCCCAAACTCAGGAATATATCTATACTTACTACAAGTTGTGTTCAATAATTTCACTATAAGAATAATAAAAAACTTGTGGAAAGTATAACACTTTTATGCAAAGGATCCCATTACACACAAATTTGTAAACAGATATGTATGCATGATATTTAAAATACTAGCAATTTAACTTTCAAATCTCCAAACAAAATAATCACAAACTCAATAATAACAAAAGAGTACTTACAGGTTTTTGCTGTGGGGCTGTACTCACTGAGAGAGAGAGAGAGAGAGAGAGAGAGAACGAACAAACTTAGAGTCAAATACATAAATATATACATTCTATATAATAGCCAGAAACATACAGAAAATCTCCACTGATGGCTGATGGCCATTCTTTCTTTTAGCTTGCAAAAGTGTAGAGAAGAAGAAAATGGGGCACGTAAATCATTTATTATATGTATGTAAGACTGTTTAGGATTCAGACCCAGGTACCTTGTTGCTGTTGATGTGGCAGTTATAATCAGATCAACACCAACATGTTTAAGCTTCTTAGCCTTAGGAAAGCTCTTCATAATGATAGTTGAAAAACCTCAAAATATGAACTTGTGCAACCATCTGAACTTCTAAACCAGTTAATACTCTCATTCTTAGACAATCCTGTTATTTTTTATAAAACATTACTAGATATTAATCCTAGAAAGCAGGTTTAAATAACCATAGAAAAATGATCTCATTGCCATGCCAAAGAATTTTGAACAAATGTATCACTAAAAACATCCAGTATACAAACCATTTAAAGCTAACTGCTCAGACTTGTTTCTTGTGTTCTGACATCACACTTAATGTTATAGTATATCTTTACCCACCTCCACAGAAGAAAAGCTAAGTTTAGGTGGGCAGAGTAATACAGTTCATAGCCTATAGGCTATGAAATGGGCATGGCAGGATGGCATAAAACTGTCAATTACTTTTTCTTGATGTGATACTGACAAATGTGCTGAATGCATATATCTAATAGGGAGAACAAGGCAGCTAATTCAGCTCAAGGCATATTTCATTAAGATTCTGTATTGCTAGTACATTTCAAATGCCTATTTTCAAGATCTAAAAGCCATGAAATTGAAAGAACACTTAGGAACCCAATTACATGCAGCAATATATGCGTGTTGCTTAGTGCCCTCTCTCTCAGCACTGTGCATATGTAAATGAGGCTTCTGAAAGAGGAATCTCCACGTGTGAATGAGCAGACAGAGCAGATAAATAGCCAAATCTTTAAAGCTAATGCAAGCTGTTGTGAATGATGCCTACTACTGTAAACCCAGTGCAATGAAAATCTGTAATTAAGCTTCCTTTGAATACTACAAAAGTATATGAAGGAGAAATACAGACTGCTTTCCTATGGCAAAATGAATACTACTTATACATTATTCATCTGTTAATAACATTTTATACATTCAAAGTAGCCATGTTTAAATGTATTATTCCCATTAACTAAAACTAATTAAGTATTACCACAGCGAGTATTGCACTCTGGTTTTACTTACTGAATGTAAGAATTTACAACTGTACCTGCTGAGCCAGAAGGAGGAGGAGCACCAGCTTTCTGCCACTCTGTAGCTTCTGCAGCCATTCTACGTACATAGGTGTCATCCACGCACATTAAGATGTTTTCTGGTTTGATATCTGTATGAATGATCTTGCACTTGCTGTGGAGATAATCTAAACCCTGCAGTACCTGATTACAAAACAATGAAGATAATAATTTGCAAGATAATGCAAGAGAAAAGTAAAAATCTCTTGCACTAATTAGGCTTACAACAGCCTTCAGACCCAAAGTTATCAATAAGAAAACATAGAACAGATATTGATTTCCCATTTTTCAGCCTTCTTTTGCAAAACATTTTAAAAATTTACAGGAGTTACCGGCTACAATCCAGTATGATACTGTATTATTTATTTAAAGCACAACCCCATGGGAATGTCCATTAGCCCCAAACTTGGAGCAGCAATTTGACTCCAAAATGCTCCTTCTACTTTGCATTTTCACTAGACACCTGGCTGGCTGGTCCAGTGAAAGAGGAGGAGGGAAGAAGGCTGGAGCAGCTTCAGGATACCCCAGTCTCCACTGTGTTTGGGACTTTTCTTAAATAAGCAAGCACCCTTGGGGCTGCAACCAAGAACAGAAGAGGAGCTGGGAGGAGAGGCTGCTTTACACTTTCTCTTTTAGCTTGTTGCCCCAAAAACGTTTTTTTCTGGGTTGATGGAGCAGAGGATGACATGCTGTTCTTTGCCAGAAAGATGGGAAAGCAGCTGAGCAGAAAGCAATTTTAAGAAACAGTAAAAAAATCCTTGCTGCTGTTCTCCTTTCAACTGTAGCCTTTAAGGTTGATTTTCAACTTAAAAGGTTTCCAGAAAGTATTCTTGCATCTCCTGAGCAATATTTAGCTGACACTAAGTTCCACTTGAAAAGGACAGGTAAAGGAAGTATCATACATAAATTCTGGTGAATTTCTGTATTTATTAGCAAGGATTAGTAAGTGGGAGAATCTCTACTTTTCATTTAGATATATTAGATTCACCAAAATACAACAATTTACATGCATAAAAGCAGAAGAACCAAGATGCATTATATCAATTGCCTCAGCTATATTTTAGAAAAAAAAAAACTTTAGCCAAACCATGAAAATTGATAAATGTTACAAAATGTTATTATGAACTGTTAAAATTTCATTTTCTTGAAATGTGCTAGAAATTTAAAAAATATCTAAGAGCCACTGAAAGATGTTATATTACAATTTACATTACACTTTCATTCACTTTGTTTTGTTACAAACCATCAAATCATCTCCAATTTAAGGAGATCCTATAAATTAATAGCCTCCAAAATATTCTGTCCTTGATGGCCCCACTCAGCCCTTGAAATTTTTCATGCATTACAGACAAAATGTTTTATGTCTTTTTAAAAGAAATTATTTTTTGTCAATTCATACTGCCCTGCCATTTGATTGTTTAAAAAGGCAACTCTAGAGCAACGATAAACCAGAATTTCCTAGGAGAAAAAAATTAATCAGGATATTAACTGATTAAAGCAAGGGGATGTTAAGCAGTCTAGTAAGCTTCTGTAAATTCAAACCATTGTCCACCTTTTGACAGTGTATTATTTAGTTATATTGAAAGCAAGTCATATTCCCAGCACCTCCTAATAAAGATGTTAACTAAAGTATATTCCACTCTACTTAATTTGATCAAGTATATCTTTGGCACTTAAAAACATTAAACACATGTATCCAACATGTATCATAGCCATCAAAAGTATAACCTGATTCCAACCTGGAAGTAACCCCAGTTGAACTCAGTGGACCATTCTTCTTCGTAAGATATGCATTGAGATAGTGCTGTAAAACTTAATACCAGAAACAAGCACAAATTTATTTTGATGCAAAGTTCTCTCCCTGAATATTTAAAATTATTTCCCACTGGATGGTAGCTCACTGATGAAAAAATATCTTCAGGGGAGCACAGTATGAGCACATCTGTGCACATATGCCACTTTGTTGGACTATATAAAGTACAGTAATATATACATATTAAGAGGAAGGATGTCTGAGCAATCCACCTAGGGGTGGAAATCCATCCAATTTCCTGAGCTCAGCTCCCGGACTGAGACCACTTTGCAGCAGTCCTGATTTGGAGTTGCTAGTGAGTGTTCTCAGTGTTAATGGGCACTTGCTCAAAATTGAGCCCCATGAGCTGCACAAGCAACACCCCTCTTCTGGCTCAAGATGAAGATTTCTAAAAAATGTAATCCCACCAAAGGCTGCTGGACAGTTATAGTATTTCACACAAGAAATATTAATATATTTCTATGAGTACCTTATTAACATCTTACCTGTCGTATTATGCTTTTTACACAACGGATAGGAAGGCCTTGATAGTTGGACTTAATTATCCATTTTAAAAGGTGATGTCCAAGTACTTCAAAAACCATACAGACATCTGAGATTTAATTAAGGATAAATGGCAAGTAATTTCATTAGCTTTTCATGAAATTTCATCTTTATCAGACTACCACACAAGTAAATATTCCATGTTCTAACTCATAATGGTATAAACACTGCTAAAGTATGCGCATATAAGGTTGGTGCAGGTCCCTTAAACTAGGGCTAAGGGATCATGCCTGGCATTGCACGTTCCCCAATCCTTCCGCTCCCACTTCACTAGTCCTCTTAGTGTAAATGCAGAGGTATGCTTGGGAATTGCCTGGAATGAGCTGAAAGGGGGCAGAGAAAGAAATTATTCCAAAGTAGGCCCTGTCAAAAGTGGAAATGATGATCATTTGGGTGTGTGTCTATAGCCCACATTATCTACACATAGTAAAGGAAGGGCTCAGACAAAAGAGAAAGAATAAAGGTCTTAGTAATTAAGATATACTATGGATTTTATTCCTGAATCAGTAACAAAGTTTAATATATCAGGAATACATTATTTTATTAGCTGGTGAAGCTGCTAACGCCAAGTATTATTTGTCATTCATCTGAATTCATCAATGCCAAAGATGTATACACTCCTATCCTTTATAAGTGAATGCCAAGAACGAGTTAAAAATTATTATAATGACAACCATGAGATTTAATTTTTTTCCAAATCAAATAGCTATTCATTTCATTCTAGATATTATTATAGTAAAACAGAGATGCACAGAAAATAATGGAACTGCAGACAGTTTTATTTATTAAAATAATCTGTTAGCTGCATTTGCAGCACTCATGGATCAGATCATAAACATTTCATATAGTCAGTACTGTCAGGAAAGGCCAAATATCCTAAAAGAGAAACTTATCAGAAAATAATCTGAGATTCAAATTAATATACTCAAAGAGGCAAAAATACACATATGTGTATTACAAAAAACACATGCCATAAAAATAATAGGCAATCTTTCATTTGAGAAGCAACCATAAAGTGACCAATTTATCGCTTTATATACGCAAAGTATTTCTTTAAAACATATAGCTTTCTAGCCTACCACATTTCAGTCCAGATATCCAGATAGTCTTTTCAGTACTGTAATGTATTACTAACACATGTAAAACCTCAGTTATGAGCACAACTGAAAAATCAATCTGTTAGTCCAGTAATTTACTTTAAAAGACATAAACAAGGCTTCCTTGTTTTAAAACCAAAGTATTAGACAATCAGGAAGTAAGGGAAAAGAAAAAGATACGTATGCCATTCGTGCCAGAAATTTTAAAGTCGTCAACTAACTGTACAACCATGTCCTTATTTGGATCATTAGGGTCACTTTCACGAACCTAAAAACAAAGATGAAAAGAGTTTACTTGAGCAAATTCACAGAAACAATAACACTGGAAAATGTGTTTTAAACATCTTTGTTATGGACACTAAAAATGCCTTATATTCTTTGCTTTTCTGTTTTACAAAATTCTAATAAAAATTAAACTATAAAATTATACTTTTGTGTAAACAATGACATATGCACAGACACTAAGCATGGGGTATTGTCATAATACTTACACATTTAAGCAATTTTATTTCATCCAAGGCTGTCTCTGTATAATGCTGAGCACTTTTCACAACTTTCATTGCAACAAAACGTTTCCCCCTTTAAAATAACAAGTTAATAAACAAGCTATCAGAAGTAAGCCATTTTTTTCCTACTTAAAAACAATAGGAAGAAATGCTTCTTCCCACTTTGCAGTAAGTGAAAGTTTGGAAGAAATGGTCTAAGCATTTCAACAGTATCCATGTGAATAAATGATAGCTTTAACCTTTCTTCAGTTACCAACTTTCAATAATAAAATTTGAAGGAAGAGTATTTAGCAGCTAAAAGTATAATACTATTACCGTGCTTGTCCCTTGTAAAGTACATTTGCTTTCTTTTCAAAGCTTATGCATTAGATAAGTACACTGAAGAAATGTCAATAGCATTCAATTTTTCAAGTGTTACAAAATAAAAATCTGACTAAACTAAAAGATTATATTAATGTTCCTTTAATGTTGCATACAAAAGATAGACCGGAAACTTTTATATAACAGCAACCAGATTCTATCTAGAGATAGACAAGCACAGCATTCAGTCTTGCTGACATCTCTAAATTTTTCCCTGAAGCATATCTCAGCTTATATGCATATCTTTTCTTCAACTGGAAAAAATGCAAATGTATTACGATAATGGACTCTTAAAAAGTGCACATTTTTTCCCAATTGAAAAAAAAAAAAAACAATTTTAAAAAAGGCACATCTTTTGCAACCAAAAAATGTGGATTTCCCCCCATAGGTTAAAGTGTGAAAATGAGGATTTGCATACATTTACTAGTATAAGTGCACAGACACACAAATGTGCACTGTAAAAAATTCCTGATTACATTCCGAATTCTATTCCCGATCTTATTCATGAATGGGACATATTTGCTTAACCTGCAAACAGAAATTAAATGCTCATGTATCTTTAATAACCTTTTGATTGCTCTGAACAAAATTAATCCAATAGAGCACCATAACATGCACATGCTCACACGCAAAGGGAAAGAAGTGTGTTATAACTTACTGCATATCCCAGCATAGCCAGACTGTCGAGAAGTGTCCCCATCCTAATTTCCTGATAACATGATATCGACCATTGAAAAGATCTCCAATTTTTACTGGATGATAGCCACCTTTCAAAAAATAAAAAGATACACATTATATTGGCATTATTTTGACTACATGAAAACCTCTTGGTATCTCTAAGTAGCTTTAGGTTATTTTATTATATATGTATTCCATCCCATAGCCCAGGGGCTCCTTTGGCGGCTCACAAGGAAACAGAAGCTCACAAGAAAACAGAAAATAGACTGCAATCATACTAACAAGGTAGGGTGGCCACTTACACATAATCAATATGCACAGTCAATAAAGAGGATGCACATATCAATAAATGTGCACATACTAATTTATAGTAACAGGGAGGCATTTATGAATACTTACTAGAACCATTTTGTAGAAGCAAGCCAATTCATTTCCTATCCAAATAACTGATTTTTAAGGTGGATACTTCAAGCTGCATGCCATCTCCAGCCTATTCCAAAACAGTTTGTACCCAACTGATTTAGCCCTAATTATTTCCCCAGGAGGACAGAAGCATCCATCATTTTCCAAACAAGCACCCATTGATGCACATTCCACAAAAGCTCTTTCAAGGCAAAGTTACACTAGGTACACTTAGACAGAAAAGGCCCCTACAGCTTTCCTCAGCCAGTATGGCTGGCTGGGGAATGCTGGGAGTTGTAGGATTTTTTTTTTTTTTTTGGTCTAAACATATATAAGTTGCCACCCACAATATGCTAGCTCCAGCAAGTGAGTGCTAAGAAATATCACTGCACCGAGACAGTTCTGCAATAGATTACTTCACCATCTCTGCTCAAAGGCCTGAAGAGCTGTAGCTCGGTGGTATAGCACCTGCTTTGCAAACAGAAGGTCCCAAGTCTTTCCCTACCTTTCCCAGCTAGGGAATGAAAAACTCCTGCCTAAAATCCACCACCAGTCTGTGTCATCAATACTGGGCAAAACTTCCTCAAGACAGCTTCTGGTATTCCTATGCAAACATTCATAAAGATGAGAAGCTAGAGCTCATGCACAGCCTTTCCCCACTTTTGCAATTTCTTTTTAAGAAAAACCTGAGAACAATGTCAACTTTTGCAGACACTCTATCAGGATTTCTGTTTCTCTCCAAATCCAAATTGCTAATAAGACCTTTTTTTGGAGGGGGTGTGTGCCTGGAGGTCAGATTCAGATTATGTCCACTCTGAAGAAGCTGCACTTGTATCTGACCATACTCACTGGTAGGGAACTTGGCATCTCCAAGTAGGCTTTACTAACAGACAACCAGTTAGCTATTCCTGCTCTTTAACCACCTCCCAGGTATTATTTTTCTGTTGTAAAATCTCAGTTATAAGCACAGAACATCTTGCATCAACATTTCGACAGTAATTTACATAAGAGAGAACACTTTTTATAAAGCTATACAATCATAAATTAAGTATACTTCATGCCTAATAGCCTGTGGAAGGAGTTTCAGCTTTTCCACTAAAGTTCCCTCAAATTCTACATTGACTAAATGAATTTGAACTCCATCCTAATGTCACACTAAGCTATGGTTTCTGTGGCTTACCTATTGGGAGGGTTCAGATGTATCAACAAGCCATGTGGAAACTGTGGTAGTATGGCTTGTTGTTATGTCTGAATCCAGCAACCACGATATGGTATGTTTGGTTTTTGAGGAACACAGGGAAAAACAAATTGAGTATTGTGCAAAAACCAACCACCACGGCCACTGCCACCAACATCACTTCTGCCACTCCTATCTGGGCATGCTGCTATCAAAGTCTGTCTGATGATTGCTTACTTGCAGCACTCTGATTGGCTGCCCTGCACTCATTTTCCCCCCATTTCTTCCATTTCTGCACATTGCCTTCAGGTGACCACCTGCAGCTTTGTAATCTTGGTAGCAGTGGGACAGTATACTGAGCTGCCTGTAGTAGCAGTGACCTTGAGAACAGCTATACCTGGGGCTCCTGCTTGGTCACAGAAGTTTACTTGACTGGCGTGTTGAACCTGTTGTGCCTTTCCTTTTGAAAGTTATGTGTAAGGAGCACACAGGCCACATGCAGGCATCGCCAACAAGGTACTCACTTTGATAAGCCCATCTCTTATATTCTGTCTCTTGCTCTTTGCTTTGCTCCAATCTTATCCTGGACTTTCCTTGCTCCACTGTCTCCTATCCCCACTACAGCTACAAGACAAACACATTCCCAACAGTCAGCCAAGAAACTTCTCCAGACAGATGTACACACACACTCCCTCAAGAAATTCTTCCCAGCATGGCATGCTGCCTCCATCCCTAGCACAGGTGCCCACATTGATACCCTCTGGGCACAGCCAGGAGTCATTCCTTTCCAGAGTATGAGAGTCTCACACACATGGGCACATGTAGGGTTTCAGTGAAAAGGAGGGCCTGATTATAAAAGAATACTTCTCAAAAGGGAAAGCCTCCTCTTCACAAGCAGGACTTTTGCCAGATGATTTTGGACTATGTTTCTGCTCAACTACTCTCCTGCATTCTGATCACGATTGTGCCTTTCTCTTGAAAACCATCTTCTTGCCTGGCAATACAGGCAGGTTCCACATTACGATGTCTTGAGTTACAAACAGCCACTATGAACGAACTGCCATGTAGCTCACTGATTTTTAAATATTACTGTGGAAAAGGGACCCAAGAACTGCCTGTACTGTGCTTTAACTATTTCTGATATTTTGACTATTCCTGTCTTGACTGATTCCACTCTATGGATTATTTGCAAGCCTAATTGATTTATCTGTTGGATTTGCCCATTGGATTTGCCCTTTTATTTGCCTAACACAGAACCTAACAGAGGTAAAGCAGGATAACACGCAATCACTGCCAGTGTGAAAATGCGCTCCTCAGAGAGGTCCACCTGGCGCCATCATCATTTGTTTTTCGGCGCCAGGCCAAGACCTTTTTATTCAAAAAGTATTTTAATAATGTTTAATATTTATATATTTTAATTGTGCAGCCAGTGTGTTTCCAGGTTTTAATTGTAATTGTTATTGCCTTATTTATTTGTTTGTTTATTTATGTGAGCCGTCCTGAGGCTATGTAGCAAGGGGACGGCATATAAAAACTTTAAATAAATAAATAAATCCCATGCATGCTCCTAAAACTGCTGAGAATCCCATTTTAATCAGAGGTCTAAATGCAAGTTTAGGAGTACCTTGGGGTGTTATAACCCAAACTGGTTACAGCTGTATATAGCACCAAATACAGCAGTGTAGAAGAAGAGAATTCACAAATGAGGAGAGATACAATGACAGAGAACACATAATCCTGTGGTAAATGTCCTAATCTTCGCTGGACCATTATATATATATAAGCACTGGCACTTTAATCTTCTAGTTTAGTATAAGAAAGTAAGTTAGTTTGGGTACTAAGCTTGCTGAATGTGACAAAATCTGGAATTCCAGAGTTCTTTCCCTTTGCTACAATTTCCTAGTGGATATGAAATATGAAAATTACAAGTAGGTGCTTCTCCTTGTATGAAGATGCAGCCGTTCATCATCAGTTCTAACATTAAGCAGATTGGTTAAAAATACTCTTCCCATTAAACAAAACGCTGTCAAAATTTATGTTTTCCATAGATTAAGTGAGATGTGTTTTGTTAATTTTTATTTTTCAGTCATTTTCAGTAATAACAAATATATAAAAACATGAAAAATAAAATATATTTCTGATTCTTGCTTTGCCTTTATTTTTCATCAAATGTTTTTAAACTTTAAAGGGTGAGTTTTTTTTATAGATAAGTCTGCTAACCACTATTAGCAGCACAATTTCCTTCATTTGCCTTTTTAATTATTTGTTCCTTGAAAAATGTAGAACATCCACCCAAAATTAACTAATTAAAAGCAGAAATGTTTTTCCCCCCTAACCTTACTTTATCCCTGGTGTACTTAATAATTTCCTCAAAATAAAGAGGTGCCTGAACAATTGAGTGCTCCAGAACAACTGAGTGCTCCAGAAGAAATAGAAATTCAGAGATTCTTCTTCCAGGGTATCTCAGGAATGTGCTGGTATGCTTAGCTGACAAGTGTTAGAAATTCTTGCCTTTGTGAACTGGATGAATGGGAGACATCTCAGAGTACTTAGCAGGAGGTTGAATCCAGTGGCCCTCTGGCCTCTTCCAACTCTACTGTTCTATGATTCTAAGAATGGCACCATTAACAAATAATTTCTGCTCCACTATGGTTTTATGCTGAAATTTTAGAATGACCTGAAGTACAGTATTTTTTAAAAAGCTCAATATTTAATGGAAAAACTAGTTGAGAAGTCTAAAACTTTTGGAACTTGTTGGTTTATTCAGAATTTTAAAGCAGTTCTGTGGACACACAGACCCTCTCTCTTCACCACCACAAACATACACAAGCGCGCATGGGGGGGCAAATTTGCCAACACCATCATGACATAAAAACATGCATCTGTAAGAGCCACATGGATGGTCATCAGTTTTTCTTATGTTATCCTCCCTCCAAAAGAATACCCCATAAGCACATCTGTGGACACAGAGATGACCTATGATTGATGGTGGTCTTGGGAGGATCAAAAATCATAATGACACTTAAGAACCTGTGACTTGCATCAAGGTTTTGTATCACAGAGGTGCTGGAAAGAGCCAGATCCATGATTTTCACAGAGACAGATAGAATATGTGGTTTGATTAGTTAGGGTTAGGGAGATTCCATGTGAAGATTATGCAAATTCAAAGATTTGCTTTATGTGAATCTTACTTTTACTTCTCTCCATGTTCCACTTCTCTCTAGCTTCACATGCTGTCTCTCCATACCTTTCTCTTTATTTTTCTATACATATTTTATATCAAAAGAATAGTGGCTTACTAAAATGATGTAGCCAACACCATTCTTGTTTTTGAAAAGGTCTTTTTACATTGAATACATTCTGTGTTCATATTTTTCAGGTATTAAACTAATGTTAGCCTCTAGATTATATTCTACCCCCAATGAAGAACTACTTGGCCCAGTTACCAAATCTGTCACCACATATTCTTCAACCCTGGAGCATCTGGAGAAAAGGGCAAAATTTGATCTA